GAACATGGTACCTCCAAATTCCCCAAAAGTTATGTAGAGTTCTAGGGGTTACAGAGGTCTATTTGGTATCTGGGACCAGATTCTCTTCTTTATTACAAAGTCACTTGCACCCGCACAACACTGAACTGCCCCTAGAGATGTGGCAAGGATTGAATGAGCTGGTGAATCAGGGCCTTGATGGCTAAGTCTTCCTTTCTGGAAGAGCAAAGAAATTTCTGTGGCCTCCTGGTCTGCTCTTCCCCTCTTGGACTTACCAGAGAACCAGTTCCCCTGGACCATCACAGAAGGTATCCCAGGGCAAGTCTCTGCTGCTCAGGAAGATATGATAGGTCTATGGTCAAGGCAAATCCTTCAAGTTCCCAGGCTATCTGCCCAGATGGCCTTTTAGATGAAGTCCAGATTCTCTCTGTACTGCTCATGCAAAGTTCAGATGGTGTGCGTCACCCACTCCAAACCTGGGGAGTGGAGGTATGGAGGGTGGTGCGAATGGCATGTGGGAGTGTCTGCAGGGAAATGGAGAAGATTGAGATGGTCTGCTCTTATCTGGACCTACTGCATAATGGTTAGATACTCAAAGGAGTAAAAAAAAATACTATTTTGACTTTACCTTGGGAATTAGTACTCAGTAAAAGAAGACTATTTTTTAGAAGATGTTTAATATGACAGATACATGCATTGCTAAAACGTCACTTTAAAAATACCTGATGAATGACTACAAAATTTAAAAAAAAACATAAAAACATTTTTAAAATTCTAATTCTTCCCAACAATTACAGATCATAAAAATATCAGATCAAAAAATATCTCCTGTAATGCAGGTTAGTGCAGCCACTCTGGAAAACAGTATGGAGGTTCCTCAAAAAGCTGAAAACAGAGCTACCCTATGACCCAGCAATCACACTACTGAGTATTTACCCTAAAGATACAAATGTAGTGATCCGAAGGGGCACCTGCATCCCAATGTTTATAGCAGGACTGTCCATAAGAGCCAAACTATGGAAAAAGCATAGATGTCCATCAACAGACGAATGGATGAGGAAGATGTGGTATAAGTATATGCAATGGAATATTATACAGCCATCAAAAATGAAATCTTCCCATTTGCAATGACATGGATGGAACCAGAGGGTGTTATGCTAAGTTGAAATTAAGTCAATCAGAGAAAGACAATTATCATATGATTTTACTGATATGAGGAATTCAAGAAACAAGAGAAGAGGATCACCGGGAAAGGGAGGGAAAATTGAAACAAGATGAAACCAGAGAGGTAAACAAGCCATAACAGACTCTTAATCTCAGGAAACAAACTGAGGGTTACTGGGTAGAGAGAGAAGGAAGGATAGGGTGGCTGGGTTATGGACACTGGGGAGGGTATGTGCTATGGTGAGCACAGTGAATTGTGTAAGACTGATAATCACAGACCTGTACCCTGGGGCAAATAATATGTTATAAGTTAATAAAAAAAACCTCCTGTAATATATTTTGACTTATTGGAAAGCCCCCACAAAACCTAAAGATTCACCCAAAATGGAACATTTATTACAATGTGAGTGCCGTAGCATGTCATAGTATATTTCCTGTTCTATGACCATATCAATGTCAATTACATATGCTTTTTAAAACTCTAAGTAGGCACCGAACTGATCTGTTGCATGCTGTACCTAGAGGGGCATGGAGTGAATAATCACTCATGAACTAATTACTGGTTACCAAAAGTGTGATATTCTAATAAGTAATATTAGAATAAGTAGTAAGTGTTATTCTAGTAAGTTGTTCTAATAAGTAACTAAGTATATTGGTTTCTTACAATTAGATCCTTGGCATCCGTATCACTCTACTCTTCTTTCTGTAAGTCGCTTTGGGCTACAGGCACGGATCACACAAGGGACAGGAAGAAAGGAGGTTTGCTCTACGGATCCCCGAGTTGCTCCCTGAATGGGAGGGGAAGCCCTCCTGCACCCGTCCAGGGACCAGGTCTCTCTCCCCGCCTTCCACACCTCATGCTCTCTCTCACCCTCAGCTCCTGTCTCTACCTGCACACTCCTTCGCCTTCTGCGAGCTGGCTTCCTCCGCCTTCTCTTATATTCTGCCCACAACTCCCGCTTCCGCCTGCAGGGGGCCATCAGTCCTTCAGTCCTGGACGATGACGTTTCAGCAGCAGATCCCGTAACAAACCCACAAATTGTGTTTCTTAGTTCAAGCTTCCTGCCAGCACAGGACTGGCCCAGCTCATCTTTTCAATCCAGATACATGGTATCCCATTCTACAGATCACATCTCTAGTGCATGCTCATTCATCCGTTCTGGAGGGATCCCTAGCATCTTGTTTTAAAGCTCGCCCAGTGATCTAAGGGAGACAGGGTTGAGACCCACTGGGGCAGCCTCACTAAGGTCGACTGTCTTTGAGGCCGGTGCCCATCCCTGGGCCACTTATGAGGCAGAGTGGGTTAGGTGGACACAGGGAAACCAAGGCTGGGTGGTACATTAGTTTCCTATTGCTGCTTCTCCTTATTGTGTCAAATGACCACAAATTTAGTGGCTTAAAACAACACACGTGAATTATCTCACAGTTCTAGAGGTTAGAAGTCTGAAATGGAGGGCCCCGGGGTGGTTCAGGGGGTTAAGCATCTGCCTTTGGCTCACGTCCTGGGATCGAGCCCCACCCTGGGCTCCCTGCTCCGTGGGGAGTGTGCTTCTCTCTCTCCCTCTGCTGCTCATCCTACTTGTACTCACACTCTTGTTCTCTCTCCCACTCTGTCAAATAAATAAATAAAATCTTAAAAAAAAAAAAAAGTCTGAAATGGATTCCTCTGGGTTAAATCAAAGTTTTGGCAGAGCTGTGTTCCTCCTGGAGGCTCCAGGGGAAAATGCATTTCCTCGTCCCTTTCCACTTTCCAGAAGTGGTCTGCGTTCCTTGGCCTGTAGTCTCTCCTTCCATCTTCAAAGCCAGCAACGGTGGATTGAGCCTCACATCACATCATTCTGACATGGGCTCTTCTACCTCCTCCTCCCACATTTAAAGGAACCCTGGGATTACACTGGATAATCCAGACTAACACCATTTTTTTAAGATTAGTTAGTAACCTTCACTTCCCCATCATGTCACACATATTCCAAGGATTAAGATACAGACATCTTTGGAGGAGCCATTCTTATTCTGCTTACTATGAGCAGACTATATGGAACAGAAAATACTGGGTATGGGGTTTTACTCACAAGCACCATAAACACAACCAACATAATATCAGGCTGAGTATTATTACAAAATGACGTATAGCTTGACTACTAAAACTTTAATCATTTATGTTAGTTTTCATCTTTTATACTCCACATCAATAGACATTTCAGCCATATAAACAAGAGACCAAAGCATTCTTTAAAGATAATATGAACTCAAACAGCAACATTTTTACCCTTCAATAATTTATAAGCTATTTTCCTATAATTACACAATTTATACATTTTTATCAACAACCACTAGCCAAAATCAATTGTAATTAGTTTAGATTCCAAAAGAAATCTATTTTAAAACACGTTTTAAGCAATCTCCAAATTGCTTTTGCCTTAGCCAATGATTATATATTAAAAATGGAACAACACGGTACAATTCCTTTAAAGAAAAATACTTATCCACAGTGTTCCTTCTTCAAAATTAAAATAAAAGCACTTGAACATTTTCAACAAACATTTTCTTGTTGTTGAAACAACCAGTATGTGAAATCATGGAGGTTTTCCTAGTTATTAACAGAGTTTTTGAAAAACTTAACTGTGAAAACCTGTCATCCAAAATGCATCTAAACCAGAAAGGAGTGGGACAAAGTGAGAAAACAAGAGCATGATATAAATGTAAAAGTTAGGGGGAAAACATTCCAACTTCAAAAAGCTTTGAAGGAAAATGCATTTTCAGACACATCTGAGTCTTCAGAAATGAACTATTTCTGGGTGCATGGATGGCTCATTTACTTAAGCATCCGACTCTTGATTTCAGCTCAAGGTCATGGTCTCAGGGTTCTGAGACTGAGCCTCTGCTGGGCTATATGCAGGGGGTGGAGCCTGCCTATGATCCTCTCTCTCCCTCTCTCTCTCTGCCCCTCCCCACCTCTTCTAAAAATAAAAAATAAAAACATAAATGAACTATTTTTCTTGGGTATTTCACATTAATGTTCAAAATTAAAATAACAAAGTCCTGGGGGCACCTGTGTGGCTCAGTCATGATCTCAGGGTCCTGGGACTGAACCTCACATCAGGCTCCCCACTCAGTGGAAAGTCCATGCTTCTCTCTCTCCCTCTGCCTCTCATCCCACTCCTGCATTCTCTCTTTCTCAAATAAATAAAGTCTTTAAAAAATTAATAGAAAGTCCCTTTTTCCTTATATTTGCTTGGATTTATATAATCTACATGTATAATATATACACAGTACTATGTATATATAATAATCAGCTTATCTGTTGACCTCAATTAAGAAGTTAGTACCTGCATTTAGGTTAAAATCAGCAAATCTCACTATTTTTTGGCTTTAATCTTTGATTCACTTGGAATATTATTTAATCAACAAATATTTGAGCATCTACTCTACGCCAGGCATGTTACAAAAGTTAACAATTTTTTAATTTATCACATTTAAAAAAAACAATTAGTCCTGTCCAAGCTTAACCGAAAATTCACATTTTTTAAAAAAAGTATCAATCATTTTATCCTCATTTTAATAAGCTTTTAAAAATCGACACTACTTTGAATCCACACATTTGGTCTTATCTAATAATTCGTAAACTGGTCAATTTTAACTTTACATCTTCAGCACATAAAGTTGGTATCATGAGACCAGTGATTTATTTCACACTGGGAAAATTGGGTGAGCAGGAGCAGGTTCTTTCCTTTAAAGTTGTGGTCTCTTCTTTAGACAAAATTAACCAATGAATTGAAATCAATTTGCTAATGGTAAAATTAACAACATGCCATTGGTTATCAGAAAACAGGTGCTTTAGAAATGAGATGACTTACTTAGACTGCTTAGCTGGCGTATGATAGCAGCAAGAGTACTATTGGTTACACATTCAAGTTCACTGGTAATCCCTTCAGGCAGGGCCCCCCGGCACAAGTGCCGGGGTTCGATGTTCCTCTTCACTAAAGGCATGGCTCACAATCTGAAAATTAAAAAGACATTTTTTTTTTAAAAGCTCATATTCACATTTTAACAAATTTAGAGTTTTAATTCCCTTGAAAATTGATTCCTTCCCAGGAATTTTCTTTACCCTTTCTATATGAATCAGCTAAATACAGAACAGATGCCTAATTACTTACATAAATTTTATCAATTTCAAAGATATATGGAGAATACAATCCTACTTTTATAGAAAGATAACATAAGCAAGATTTCCAGTAAAGTATGAACTGAATACATGCATTTTTACCTTCCTTTCCTCTCTAGTAAAATGAAAGAGACAGAAAAGGCATAAGCCCAGAAGTGCTAACGGCAGGAAAGAATACAGCGCCCCCAACTCGACGAGCCCAACCAGATGAAGACACAGAAAAGGCCATACCCAGGTGGAAATGTAGAGAGACAGGAAGTGAGCCCGCCTGGACCATGCCCACCCTCCCCAGCAAAGGCTCAGGAGCCTGAGCTGCCATGTATCCATGAAACAGGGGTTGGGGGAGAATGGATCCCCAGCAGGGATAAGCTAATAAACCAGATGTACTACAAGGATCTTCAAGGACGAATATGGAAAGAGGAAAGAGGCTGGCTTTCAAAAATCCATTCGCAAATTCCTTCTCCCTTCCCGGGCTGCTCCTACTCCAACCCAGCCAGCTGTTTTACTTTCCGGTGAATTCCAGAATTTGGACTTGAGACACAAAACACAGCTAAAGATTATGGTAGGAAATGCGCTAAGGCCAAGAGTATTAAATCAAAGTCTACACTGAATGTAAGACAGAGCTGCTCCCCATACCCTCATTCCCTAGCTCACTTCTCCAGCTAGCTCTTAGTTCCCAGAGCACTGGCAGCCTCCTTTCCACTCCCCATCCAAAGAGACCGGGACATTCCCCCCAGAATGTTGGAAAAGAAAAGATCTACAAACATGGACATTGAGCCAGGGCCTCTCCCTATGGAAAATGCCAACCAGGTCACCCTATAGTTAGACCTGCCAAGAATCTCTCCCACACGATTTCCCATCAGCTTTTGATGCCTCAGATCTAAGTAAGAATGGACAGTGACCTTTCAGGAGAGCCTTCCCCAATGTTCTAGCAATTCTTTTCACTTCTCTCCTCAAGAAGTACATTATAAACTAACATAAAATCTCAACTTTTTGCTTAAGGAGGCACACGGGAGTTTCAAACCTACTGCTTATGTAACCAATCTACGGCTCATACAACAGTAGAAAATCCAATGACTGAGATTTACTGTCATTTTGACAAGATTATCATACTGCCCAACTTGTAGGAACAGAAACTGAAAAGCCTAGGACATTGGTGAGCAGTCAGACCAGCCCTGAAATGCCAATCTGGAATTCTCATTATGTAAGACAAATAATATCCTATTTGCTTAAACTACTGTAGTCAGGTTTCGGTTACTTGGAGTAAAACTTATTCCCAACTGGTACAATAATTGAATGGCATACTGTATCTAAAAACCTGGAATGTGGTAAGCATGTAATACATTTTTGTCTTTCTTCTCCCCTTTCTTTAAAATCTTTGCTCGAGCATCTAATAAATACTTACCAAATGCCTACAGCCTACCCAGGTGTTATGGCGAGTCATAAGGACCCAGTGGGGACTGAAAGCAGACAAGGTCCCTCCCCCAGTGGAGTTCTATTCTACAAGGAAGCAAGACACTGATCCAAACACACAGATTAATGAACTCGGGGTCAGAAAACCATTTTGGGGGGCAGGATGCTGAGTTGTCTGCAGAGTCATGGGCAGCCTCCGGTGGGTGCGGGACATGACCACTGACTGAAATCTGAGGGGTGAATAAGGGTCCTATGGTAATGTGGAGAATGAAGCAAAGGAAAGCAAAAGTGGGAAAATTTCTCTTCAATTATACAATGTTCGACTACTTCTGTCTTATGTCCATGAAGGTGAGAGCTCAATATATTGACCATATTTTCAGATTCAAATCCTACTTCATTGACTTAGGTGCATTGCCTACAGCACATCACTTCACCTCTCTGTGCCTCTGTTTCCCCCCCATACAATGTGGATAAGAACACTACCTACCTTAGAAAATGAGGATCTAATGAGTTATTACATATATAAATAATTTCGAACAGCCTGGCTTATAGTGGCATTCAACAACGTGACCTACCGTATTCATTTTATGCTATCTTACAGGTGATTATAATGTTAATTATTATTCCTATTATAATAAAAAATGGAACAGTTTACTAGCTGATGATTGGACCACAGGAAATAGATAATAATATTTGTATAAAAATTATGTGAAAGAAGGACACGCTCCAGGAAGGAGTCCTAAAACACGCAAATTCTAGATCTCCAAGTCTCAAGGCAAAAATATAAGATCTACTGTGAGTTGCCATGACTTTCTGGGAGAACGCATTAGAACAACAGGATGGTAACTAATCACAATAGCAACGAATCAGAAAACCAGAAACTGTCATAAGGGAAAAAATATCGCTGATAAACTTAATAAAAGCATAGAGTGTGGAAAGAAAGATACTGAAAACTGATCAACAGGGACTGCAATGAAATGAAGAAAATTAAGCAACAAAAATCATGATGTCCACAAAGAAGCACAGAGCGATGCAGGGGGAGGCGTACGGTGGCAAACACTTTACAGACGGCGCAGAAAAGCCAGTGACCCGGATGTTGTAGGAGAATCCAAATTCGTGGGTAGTTGGAAAGTTGGTTTGTGTAACTGGCCCAGGCATGAATTAGCTCTTAAATCATTTCTTAAAAGAGGGATTTATAAGAGTTTGGGGTAAATATAAGATTCAGGAGCTGAATGTTATGCATATAATACTCCCCTCTTCCTCATTCATTTTGTACTTACTCGGTGGGAGCTAGCACAGGCCGTCTCCCACACAGGGTGTCTCTCGAAAATGCACACACGACTTTGCTGATGTTCTCAGTGGGAAGGGCTCATATCCCGCTCTGATACCCCACCCACGCCTGCCCCATCCTTCGGCTTCATATTCCGGACATCCCCCTCTGGTGTCACATAGCGTTGACTTAACACCCCGGGGGTATCTGGCAGCCCCACGGAAGGTGCTGACCCAGAGGCTTGCTCAGGATGTTATTAGGACACAAAAGAGAAAAGCTTAACTCTGTACACGTGTATTAACCATGTCTCCTACACCTGGATTCTGATACTTTGACATCTTGGAGGCAGACACAGGTCCCTGGACTGGACAGACTGCTCCTCCCAGAATTAGCCAATTCCCAGAGCTAGGTAACTCACCCAGGAGCTCATGTTTCATATGCAAACTTACTAACCCAGAGCCTCCATCTCCTCTCTCTGCTCTCACACCCCAGGCCATTGTCCGCCTGCCCTAACCACCCCAGTGCCAGAGACTAGGCATCTAGGGACAGTAGTATGCCCCAAAGCCTGCTGTAATAATCCGGCCAATCCCAAAACTGCTCGCCCCACCTTACCCATCCCTTCCCACAGGAGCCACAATAAAAGCTCTTGCCCCCATTTCCCTCTTTCTCCCTCCATCTCCAGGTAGCCCCGAAAGCTGGTGCCTCCCCACGTGGACCCCTCATGATGTGGCCCACCCCTCCTCCTGGCATCTGCAACATTTATCTTATCACTGGCAGCCACTGCCCCATGTGTTGGCCTCATCATATGTCACCTCTTCTGTTAATGTACTGTATCTCAAAACGGCAGGGAAGTCTGAGACGGACTCCCATGAGGCACCAGGGCAGCTGCTCATCGGTGTCCCCACTGACCATTCCAAGCAAGCTGCCACCGTGTCTGGGCCTGGAACCAGGCTGGGAATTTCTCCCAGGGTGGACTCTGAGCTTTCTGAACTCCGGAACCGCATCTACAAGTTCCATGTTTTCCACACTGACTTTTACGGTTCCCCAACAAAGCCTGAGCGCTGAAAAACCTTCTGCCAGTTGCAGACACACCCGCATGTGTAGACAGACACATCTCAATCTGGCCTTCTCCTCAGGAATTCGTCTGTGGTTGTTACAGCATTTCAGCTCTAATTAACCCGAGCCTTCATTTCTCGCAACCGTTAGGCATCTACTTGGCACTCCCACTCTCGTCTAAATACAAATGACAACAGAGAGAGGCCATGCTACTCTCTTCCCAATTTTAGACAAATTGTTTTGTGGCTCCTTTTTAAAGTTCTAATTATCTAGCAATCACTTTTATGGCTTTCCAATTCAGTGCAAAGTACTCTGACACGTGTATTTTTCCCCAGATGGCCTTTATTTTATCGGACACTAATCCAGTTTTGAACAAATTGAACAGCAGGGTAGAGGTAAAGGAGAAAATGTTGGGTCAGTCATTACTCTTGAAAATGCTTTGCAGTGCCAAAAACAGACATGTAATGAACTAACCCTGTTAGTCACCAACAGATGACTTAAGTACGCCTCTCAAGTCCTTCGCTGGAAGAACTATGACCCTTCCAGATCATTCTTCCAGGTTATTCTGTATGCTAAGAAAAACACCCAAAGATTACTAATCAGATGTGTAAGGATTATTAGAGGTTACATAAGGCATTACTATTAAATCTGCAGTCTGTCCAGCTTTTCTGGGAAAGTTTCAATTTAGAGAGAGACAACCTGGTTCACATAACAGTGAACTAGATTCCAGATGCGGCTGAAACCAGGCCAGAGCCTTTCCCTGGGAATTCGGAAGTGGGACCCCCACACCCTGCTCAGCAGCTGCTCTCTTGAACCGCAGGGATGGGTAAGTCTTCCACCACAGGAAATGCAGATCGGCAGGGTTAGTTAGCAGCAAGGGAACAAAATGATGTAACAGACTGGCAAAGACAAGAGACAGACAAGGACACTCTAGACTGCCCAATCTCCCTCAGACGGCGTGGCCAACGAGGAGAAGATGCTTCCACCCAGCCTCCCCTCCCCCCCTTCACTGGGGGGTCAGACTTGCCTCCCAGTTTAATGGCTCTTCCAGCCTTTTCTCACTTCCTCTATTTCTTGCCACACAGGCATTTCCCCT